TTTTTTATATTTTAATCAAAGAGTCAAGTAAAGTGTGGGTTACAAAATAAAAAGCATAAAATGAATACGATATGGAAAGAGAAAAAAAGTTCAAATAACATAAATTTTTTCTGGTTTTTTCTTAATTTCCAAACTCGAAAAAAAAAAAATAAACAAGATGCATTTGATTGTTTTCCATTAGAAAATATTTTGTAATTTTTTTTTGTAAAGTTCATTAGAAAAATTTTATGATCAATTCACTAGCTTCTTCTTCTTCTTTTCTACAAAATTTTTAACAAAAATATTTTATATTAAAATTATGTGAATATTTTTTTCAATGGCATTTTCAATAGTATATTTTGTTATACATTTGAGTTTGTTGTGCATGTGATTGAGTAAATATTTCTATTCAATAGAAAAGAAACAAGATTTTTAGATTTTAAATTTTTTTTATCCATTTTGCTATGTGCTATGTATTCTAAATCGTGTAATAATTTTATCATGTCCGGTGCATGACTTTTTCTTTTCATTTTTCAAATTTCCTCCTCATTTCTTCTTGCATCAATTAGTAGTTTACAAACTAAACTAAATTTTAGAATTTCAAATACATTTTTTCCTCTAGAGATATTTTACAAAGAAAACGAAAAAAAAATTAAAGAATTACAGACAGAAATGTAAAGAGTTCTAAATTGAATTTCTAAAAAAATACTTTGATTTTGTAATAATATTTTTTTTTAGCCTAAAGGTAGAAAATAATTTAAAAGTAAAAAGCAAAATCATGTATCCGGTTTAGTTGTGTGAAATACAAAAAAAAAAAACGACGACGAATTCTTTTTGGCCATTAATCATTGAAATTTGACAACAAAATTTTGTTATTCTTAAATTTTTGGGAATACCAGAACAAAAAAAAAAAAAAAACAGAAAAAAAGAAAGCCGAAATATTTTGAGATTCTAAGAAAAATTCATATTTTTTTAAAATACAAGAAATTTCAAGAAGACAAGAAGAAAAAAAATTCCATTGACGCAAAATATTGGTGTAAAAGAATGCTGCAACAACAGGTAACTGGCACACGCACACACTCTAATTATTAACATAATTAAATGCAAGCTGCAAAAAAAATTTTAAAAAATTAAAAAACAAAAACTAAAATTTTGTTGAAGCATTTATAAAAATTTCGATATTTCAGTAAACAATTAGAATTGGTTTGTCCACCTTCACATTATTTATGCTTTTATTTGTGACTATGCCTAATTCCTACATTTGTAATTAAAATCATCTGCGATTTAAAATTATCTAGATTGTTGTATGGCAATTGAATTGACTTAAATGTTGCCACATTTAAGTTGATATCGAGAAATGTGCTTACATCAACTGGCCTCCATCGATATTCGGATTATTTCTTATAGCAATATTTAAATATTTCCAGTTGACAACAGTTTATATACAAAATACTCTAAACTCTAACATAAATTTTCATTCAAATTTGAGAAAAAATATTTTTAAATCGTAAGGATTTGCAAAATTTAAAGTCTTGTTAACAGATGCAAGTATTATTCCAGCCTTTATTTAATTTTAGCTTTGTTCAACTAACATTAAATTTTTTATTACCGAATTTCCTAATCAGTGGTCTAGAACTGTTGTTAAACCACTTCGGAGGAAAATCCTTGGAGTTTTTTTTTGGAAAAACAATTCTCCATGTGTTAAAGGATAATGAGTTTGATCGTATAACTTTACACTTACTGTTTTCGAGTAATTACTGATTAAACATTAAATTTTAAGTTATAAAACTAAAAAGTTTTCAAAAAATGTCATTTATTTGAAAGAAGTTCGCCATTTTTTTTTAAATAGTTTAATTCTTTGTTTCCGATACGGTACGGGTCTAAGTCGCAGGGACGCTTTTCGTTCTAATTTTCTTTACTTCCCCAAAAAGAGACCTAACCGTTCGGGCTGCCGCCGCATGAACCTTTTCTAAACTCCAAGGAGCCAACTTCGATAACTTTAACATTTGTTCCGGACCACCTTGTATGGAGAATTTCCAACATATCCGATATAAATTTATAGTTTTCTAAATTTCTTAACAATAAAAATAATTTTCATTGGTCATTTTTGTAATTTTGTTAAATTCTTCATTAGTAAAAAATATGAACAATAAATACTATAAAAAAAGAAAGAGAAAATTACCACCTAGGTGTGAATTCTCAACACCTTTTCTAATATACACAGAATTATAACATTAAAGGTTTTATAAATTATGATAAGAAAATGGAAAAAAAAATCATATTATATAACCAAAGTATAATTCAAATATTGAGTAGGACACAAGGAATTATTATAAAAATTTGATACTTCAATAAACTTCAAGTATTAAAAAAAACATACTGGTAAGAAAAAAATTATACAAGAATTCAGTTAAAGGGGCGGACTATAATAAAGAACAATGCTATTTGAACCGGTTTTAATATAAAAAATTGTACACATTTTGTACACGCAGATATTTATGAATTTCTAAAATCTAGTAACAAGTAGCAGATATTCTCGAAACGCCTCTTTTGTAATTTGATGAGATTTTATTCAATACTTTTCAAATATTTTTGGTTTAACTATAAAATTCTTTAACTTGTTAAGCATATTTTGGAGAAAAGAAAACTCCAGACATCTTTCTCTTATTACCCTTTAAAATTTCTCTTAAATACCTTCTTAGAATATTATTATAAAATCATTTGAAATAAAAAAGTAAAAAAAAAAAAATTTCCTGCTTCTTTAAATTTTATATTTTTTTTATTTCGTACAACTTTTCTCTACAAAGGTCATCTTTTAAATAGCAGTTAAGTGAACCGAAAATGAGGAAGTATAAAACTTAATTTTTTTTTTCATTTCAACTAAAACTTTATTTGCCTGAATGACAACAAGAATTTTTGAATTGAAGAATAAAAAAAGAAAAAACATTTCAATTTTTTAAAAGTATTCAAAAACTTATCTACATACCTACACACATACAAAGAACAGATGTATTTATGAATAAAAAGGTTATCATCACCTTCCCAGTTATGTAGTACTACATTAAACATCTCCACTATAAGTAAAGGTAACAGAATATCAGCATTTGTTGGGTTGTTGTTTTATAATTTTAAATAGTAAAAACAAAAAGCCTGGATCTTGTTTTCTTATCTCATATAAATGAGAAAACAAAAATGAGTCAACAAAGCTGGTGGTCCTTTTATATACATACATACAACCACATTGCTTTTCTATCCATCTTTCAGTACTAGACTATAAAAGAAATGAAGAAATCCTTCTTACAAATTAGATGCGCAGCAATTTTTAGATCTTGAAAATAAAATTTTTTTTCGAAATTATTTTCCCAGAAAATTTTGGGTATATTTAATGTTATCGTTGTCGTCGCTTCACATATTTTAATATCGTCTTCGAATTTACAAGTATGTTGAGTGCATCTTATTAAAAAATTTTACCTTTAAAAGGTAACATTTTTAAAGGAATTTGTCGCGGTGTCATTTAATTTTTTTTTTTTATTATTATAATTTTGGAATTTTTTGTTAAAGAAAAAATCTTTCTCTATTATTTTTTGTGCCTAATTGAATCTAATATACTGTGAAAACTATACTTCGAAAAAAAAGGGTTAAGTTTAAGAGGAACTTAATGCGTGACTTAAAATATATTTTGTGTATAGTGTGTTGATAGATTTTAACATAATTATTATGCAACAATATTTAAATTATGATAAATGGAGACATTTTTTATTTATTTGTTCCCTTTTGGGGAAAATTTTGGTTTAAATCCCATGTAACTTTATTATTTCTACTTTGTGGCTACTAATGAATCATTTTAAATATGCATATATGAATTAGAGTGGAGAACGTGATATTTTATAACTATCGAGAGGTTAACAATAGAGATAATTTAAACTACAAGTATGTTAGATTTTAGGAATTTCATTGAATATTTAAAATTTTTTTTGATTTTATAATTTTAATTCTAAAAACTATTTGAATTTTGAAGAAAAAATTTCATTCAAGAAAAAGGGGGTTCTTATACGCTTATTTACATAACATAATCTTATCGCAACTTACTTACATAACATATACGGAATTTTACCTAGGTCCCATATCGAAAAAGGGGGTCTCATGCGTAACGTTCTTATAAAAATTAATGGAGTAAAAATTTACTTGGTTTCTAGCAGAATTATCAACATTTCAAACATTTTGCTTATTAATCCTTTCAATATAGTGCAGCCTTAAGATTGAAAACTCACTTAATGAATTAGACAATTTTTTTTTTTGGAATTATTTATGGAATGAAAAAATTTTACTATAACAGTAAAATTGCTATAACAGTAAAATTTTCTCATTCCATACATCATAAAAAGAGAAGGAAAGAGGGAACTCTTTCCTGAAATATGTATGAACGTTTATGCAGGATTTAGTCCTTTTATTTTGAAAGTTTAACTATAGTGTATTATTTGATTTATTTAAGAAACAATAATTTTTTTCCTCCATTCTTATATAAGCAATACGGTGGAGGACGGAAATATAGAAAGGTTTTCTTTAGAATTTCTTAAATTTGTTAATATGTTAAGATTCTTACGTTTCTATTAATTGTCAAAATATTAAATATTTTAACGTTGAACATAAAATTGGACAGAAAAACATTAATACTGCAATTACCACTATCAATGAGCATTATGCTGTGGATGTCATCTCAATTTTTTCAATATTGATTGAACGAACATTATGGTTGAATATTTTGAAAAATAACAGGTTGGTTTGCATTTAAATAAAGATTGAATTAGGGCGAAATAGGTCTGTTATTCCACCATAATAGTAAATTAATGAAATGATGAAAACAAAAATTAAAATTGAAAGAAAAAAAACAAATAAAAACGTGCAAAAATAACAAAAAAAAAAACTAAGAAATATTTTTAATAAAAAAATAAAAAAAAAAAATTTCTTAAGGATTGTTTTGTTTTTTTTTACTAATCAATTGATGTTATTTGAAAACTTACGCTACTAATCCACCAAGAAAGGCAACTGGACCACCACCAATTAAACGTATTTTACGATGACATGAATCAAATAATGATGAACGTGTTGTTGCTTGTGATGTTGTTGTAGTTGATGATGATGATGTTGCTGTTGAATTATTTTTTTGAAATAATGTTGTTATTGTTGTTGTACTATTATTTGTTGGTGTTGTTGGTGTTGTTGGTGTTGTTGAACCATTTGAAAATAAACCATTAACATGTGGTGATGTTGGTGTATTAGCACCATTTAAATGATTATTATTATGATTATTGTTATTATTATTGTTATTTGTTGTTGTTGTAAAATTTAATCGATGAACATTTGGGGTCGTTGCCATATGATGTGGAGATGATGTTGGACCATGACCCACTAAATGTGTGGGTGATCGCAACATTTTCTTACACAATACTATTATTACTTCCACAATTTTGTAACTATTTTTTTTTATTTTTTCTTTTTCTTCTATTTTTCTTATTTTTTTTTTTTTAATTATTTAAAAAACTACACTCAATGAAAAAAAAAAAGACAAAAAATATTAATTAAAATAAAATAAATTTTTTAAAAACTAAAATTATTTTTTTTTTCACTTTATATTTTTTTTTTGAAAAATCACAATTGTAGACAATTTTTAATGAAAATTTTTATAATTAAATAATTTTGAATAAATTTTGAAAAAAAAAAAATTATAATTTTATTAAATTAATTTTAATCTTAAATTTTAAGAAAAACAAAAAAAAGAGAATAAATGAGAATTAAAATTAAAAATTATGAAAAGAGAATTTTTTCTATTGTTATTAACTGTGTGCTATCGCCTAAAGATATGCTTTTTTTTCTATTCTTTTGATAATACAAAAAAAAATATTTTTCTCTCTATTATTTCAGTTCTTTTATTTTCTAGTTCGCGGCAATTTCTACCAGAAATCGTAACTTTTTTCTTATTTATTTTGCAAACAAAAGTATTCAAATCCAGTTATTTTCCGAGTCTTTTTTTTTTGTTTTATTTTTTCTTGAGCCTGGTTAACAGCTACTTATATAATTTTCTTTTTTTATCTATGTTTCTTTGAAAAATACGAGAAGTTCATGAAAAATTAAAAAAAAAAAAATTAACAACACAACACAAAACAACGAAATTCACAGGATTTTCTTGCGGCGTCTTTGCATTTCTTTCAGCAGCAAAAAGTCCTGAATGTCATCATAAAAAAAATAAAAAACGAAAAAAAAAAAATACATAGGAATTGGAATTTTCTTGATAAAATAAAAAAAAAAATAAAATAAAATGAAAAATTTAAATAAAAAGAAAAAAAAATATTTTTTTTTTTTTACGAAAAAATGAAGCAAAAATATACAAAGTGGTAATTTTGTTTTCGGTTTTCTTTTTTAAACTTTGGTCTTGGGGAAAATAAAATTTCCACAATTGAAAATATAAAAAACAAGAAAAAATTAACAAATTTATAAATTTCATAAAGGAATAAAATAAAAAAAAAAAATTAATACGATTTTCTTTGAATATTGGAATTTCAGTTGTTTTCAGTTTTCTTTTTCCTTTTGTTTTTCACCCTAATAAAAAGGACAATCGAACAATAATAAAAATAAATTTTTTTTTTAAAGAGAGCAGCAACCTTGACTTTGGAATATATTTGGAATATTTCGGCACTTATTCAGAAAATATTAATTTTTTCCACCTACTTATACAAGAAAAATTCAGAAAATAAAAGTAGACCCACAAGACTGGACACAATCAGAGGTTTCTTGCAGAAATAATTAAACAATACCAAATTAAAATCAATACAAATTAATAATTTTACAATTATCGTAGTTAAAGAGCAATTAAGCACCTTTCTGAAGATGCCCAACCTCTAAGATTAATAGTATTTCGTAAAGCTTAAAATTGCTAGTCACAATTTGTAGTAATTTAAATTGTAAATCTAGTAAATTATTATTTAAATATTCAAATTAATAATAATTAAGTTAATTTAAATGCATGTACATAAATATAGATAAATTTTAAATTAGTAAGTTGTAGTTATCTTTCCCGTCGAGCCCAATATATTATTTCAATTAACATGTAATTTCTTCCTCTCTTAACTTTCGTTCATTCTTTTTTTTCTCTCTCTTATAACGCAATATTACTTAACGAAGAAAATTTTCTATCACAAAATATACGTACATATTTCCTTTTTACGAAATGGGACTTTTTGTTTTATATGAATCCAATGATCAAATTTTAAAAATGCTTTTACAAAAATTATAGCATGAATAAAATAAATCATACAGTACATGCATATATGCATGTGTATAAATTTCCTCAATATTTAGTAACTTATTTATTAATTTATTAATTTATTTAAAAAAAAGATTATCTCTTGTTTCAAAATGTCAAAAACAAAATATAAGTATGTTGACATTAATTCACCCAGAATAACATTTTAGTCTCATTTAATTTTTTCATTGGTAATTTGTGCATATGTTAAAAATTTACTTTGTTCAAAATTCTCAAATTATCAGAGCGATTTTTATTGTCACCAAAATGTAAAAGTTGATAAAAGAAGAGAGAAAATAAGAATAATTCAAATTACGACTTTATATTTCAAATTTGTTAAGTTCACATATTAAACGTATTCACATTATTCGCTACACACAACACAAGCAACTATCAACTACATCATAGACTGTAGAGTGTACACTAAACTATATACATCACGTGTTTCATGTAAAATAATTATAATTATAATTTTTTTTTTTCGCATGTAAAAGGTAAATAATAATTCTTTGTTTTTTTTTTATATTATTGGAAATATTAATAATATTAATAAATAATAACAATCGAAACAAAAATATAAAAATAATAATTTAGGTGACCTTAATCTCATGCAAATATACATAATTGGTAATAACTTGTATTGTAAATAAGAAAAATAAAGAAATAAAAGTAGAACAAATTGGTAAACTGACATTATTTTGAAAAAAAAAATAAAATAAAAATGTGAAAATTGCAATTGTACTCTAAAGAATATTTAAAAAAAAAATTCATAATTATAAAAATTAATGCCAGCTATATAGAAATAATTAATCTATAGAATGTTCAAGAATGGTGAAAATAATTTTCTTTTTGCAATAACAGTACAGCACATTTAATTTAAAAGAATTTTCTATTAAAATAAAGAATTCAATTTTTTTAGTGTAGAATTTTGCAATATAAATAAGAAATATTTTTTTAGATCAATATAAATTTTCATTGCTTAATAAATAAATAGAAGAAATTAAATTTAATAGCGCAATTTAATTGGTCTTATAAGAATCTAAAATGTTTGATTGATTTAAATCACGTAATACTATATTGTTGCAACTGCATTTCATATATTTTTCTAGATAATCAAATATTGTTATTCCTAAATATTATTTTTAATAAAATTATATTTGAAAATTTATGAAACCGTGTCTAATAAATCCCTCTCTAATGAATTCGAGTAATATAAGTCAATATTTTTGTTCTATTTCACAAATCATGTAAATTTGAAGTGAATATTGCGAGTGAATAATGCGTTTCCTGTCTCATTTTTAATAAGTATAAAGAAAGTGTGTTGAGTGCGTAAAATTATGTGAATTAATTTTAAAATTATTTTTTATTTCACTAATAAGGTAAAAAAAAGAAAGTCGACTAAGATCATAGAATTAATTTTCTTACTAAAATAAATTTAATAATCGACTTGATTACTCACTTTTTATAAGACAGCAGCTCATTTATTACGAGTACATGCGTGCAATCTCATATTTATTTATTTTTCATACAACATATTAAATATTTATTAAATTGAATTTGAAATTACGAAAATTGAGAGAAAATGCAATTTGATAAATATTTATTTATGTAAATACACACAACATAACACTATATGTAAGAAGATTATTATTATTATAATAAATAAATTTTAATGAATGCTAGCTGGTACAGTAAATATGGAGTTAGAGGAATTTTAAAATTTTTATATTGAACCACCCTAATAGAATCTAATAGAAAGGTAATGTATACATATTTTGGTTTCTGCTTTATAGAATGATGTGACATCTTCTAATGAATTATTTAATATTTATGTATAGTGTAAGTACTTATGTGCTCATAATAAAAAATATGTAAAAAACTAGTTTTTTCTTTATGTAACCTGAATAACCTGAACAACACACCACAGGATCTCATATTAAGTATTTGAGTTTTTTTAATCGCGAATAACAGATATAAGTATATGTACATTTATTTTTATAGGACAGGTCATTGAAATATTTACTGTTTCCATAATCGTTCGTTCGTTTGTTCATTTTTTTTTTACATCATTTTTTTATTTTATGATGTTTTTTGATGATTTGTGGTGTTGTTGAATTAATTTTCATAATACGAGTATAATTGAATCTGGACAACAACAAAAAATATTGATATTTTTTTTTCATTAATTTTTATGTAATTTTAAATGTATGCCTATAATATGTATAAGGTTTGTATGATAATAAAGAGAACAAAAGAAGTTTTCTTAAATAATTTAAATTTTAAATTTATAAAAATCAATTATAAAGATCATCCCTCATTTATTTTAAAATATTAAATCGAAAACATTATTTTCGTATACATGTAGAAATAAGGAAAAAAAAATTAACATAATGTTACGTAATACATAAATGACAAAGTCCTAACTGTTATATTAAGAAATATGTAAATAATATATAAATTCAGTACGTACAAAATATGCTAGCTTTAATTTGTATTTAATGGTAATTTTTTAAAAAAAATTATAAAAATCTTGATTAATTACACATTTCGAATATATTATCGCAATTTAAGGGTTCTCAAATACAGAAAATATATTTTACTAAATCATTAATTTTTTGAGAGAAGCAATTAATTCTTTACCCTCATTTTGATAAAGACAACACTTAAAGACAAAAATATTAAAATGAGAATCTTTATTTTCTCTTTAAAATCTATTTATTGTTCTCAAAAAAATTTTACATGTCAAATATACTCAATTAAAGAGTATATTAATTTGAATACTGTTTCTATTATAAAAACTACAAATTACAATTTAATAAAAATTGAAGCAGAGAGGAACGAACAACAACGAACTAAAAGAAGAGAAACTTTATTTTCAATTAAATATTCAATTGAATCCTCTCAAAATTCATGTACATGATGGACGATTAACAAGGCTCTTTTCAAATTTCACTTAAAATATACGATTGAAAGTTGAAATATCAGGAAACTAAACAAATAGAATTTTTTTATTCTACAATTTTTTAAAACCGCTTTAATTGCCTATCGAATTTTTTTCTTATTTCTTTTATACTCGTACAAAAAAATAAAATTTTCATTCAACTGTTTTGTCTTTCCATATTGAATACTGTTATAATATAATATGACATTTTGAATATTTCATTGCAGCTTTCTATTACTCTTCACTCGTTACATCTTTTAATCGAGAATTTTAATGTTTAAAATAGTCTGTAGCAGTCTAGTATATAAAAGTATATGCTCACTATACACATGTATACACGTATGTGTCTCATTATTTTCATATTCACATTTACTTAGTTTGTTTAGATTTTAATTCTCATTTTTCTTAAAGATTTTGATATCATCATATACACAGTACTTTTACAATATATAAGATTATGTGTATATAATAGATTAAGTACAAGATCAACAGCATTATAACAACAATCACTGTTGTATACATAAAAATAAAGAAAATAAAACAGAATTTTACACATCATGCATGCACTCTGCATAAAATACATAACAGAACAGGTGAAGAGAAGGGGAGTAGTTAGGAAAAAAGAGAGGGAAATCTAGACACGATTTCATAGATTTTCTACATACATAGTTTGTATTATAGTTGTGCCTGTATGAGCTTTTTTTTATTTATACTTGCTATGCTATACAAACATTTATGTAAGTCTGTTTGTTTTCTTTAAGATTTTATCAGTCTCTCTGTAACTCTTTATTTTTTTTTTTATTTACAAAAAGTATCATAATAACAATGATTAGTAATGATAGGTAATTGTTATTGTAATAATAATGATAATGATTACAATGATGATAATGATGATGATGCGCGATCTACATTATGTTTTCATGTTAGTTTTATATAATTTCGTTTCTTCTTCTTCTCAACAATTTCTTTGTGTTCCGAATA